GATATTGTCCTCTTTTGGAAGGCCAAACAAAGTAGTTTCGCTTTCACAATGAAACACAGCGCCTTCACGACTTGGCGGCGGCGGCAACAATACTACAGCGAGAATAAAAGTTACGCCTTCTTTCTTTGCGTGAACATTTGGGCGGCGTTATGCAAATCTTCCCACATTGTCCCATTATAACCAGTAAAATCATTACAAATTTTGTGATGGTGTCTATTGTTTTTTTTCAACATTACATGTTATTACAAATGCCTGCAAAGGGAGCTAAAGGCCTGGTAATTGCTGCTGTTACACTTACAGGACGATAATATCCTTGTTTAATAGGCTATTGACCAAACATTTAATTCAAATATCCACTTAATCTTTAATTTTTGGCCACCTTTTTGCTATAGATGACACAGCCGCTATAATTTCTTTAACAAAAAACATGTGGACATCACAACCCTTACAAAAATTAACCATGGTTTTATCGTAGTAAAACTGCTTAATTTTCTTTTGCGTGATTTCTGAATGCTTGAGACTATAAAATCAATCAGACATCTGCATTAATAAAATAATAGCCATAGGTAATTGTCTAGAGCTACAATTGTAATTTGTAAATAATACAATTTAATTACAATTTATTTATTTATTTACAAAATTTCTATTTTGACCCCTATAGTAGTTTTTTTTTTTACACTTCCATAATATTTGAGGGAGAGGGCAGAACAATACAATCCTGCTTAGGGCACCCATTTGGCCAGTAGCGGCCCTGGTCTGAGCGTAGCCACGATTTAGCTCGCAGTCCAGGGGTTCTCAACCTTTTTTACTCTGAGGCCCCCTCCTTCTCCGGTCAATTTTGCAAGATCCCCCTATGCCTGGCATTTCCTCTTATTCTGTACTTCCGCAGCAAAATGAAAAGTGTTTATTTTTAAACCTTTTTTATTAACCAAAACATTGTAGTTTGCATGCAGCGGTTGGAAGTTTTGAGCCGCCGTTCAGTCTGTATTTAACAGTGCGATGAGGCTTGCTGCGCCGAGTTCTTAGCAATCAATCACAGAACACGAGAGAGGCCATGCTTTGATCATTATAATTTAACACATTAATAATGAAATTAAAAACTTATAGGATAAAATTTACTAAATTTACATAAGCTATCTCGCGGCCCCCCTGGAGGATCACTGAGGCCCCCTAGTGGGTCACGACCCCCCCCGGTTGAGAACCACTGTCATAGTCAGAGCGGCTATTTGTAGCCTACTTATAGTAAAAAATTATTGATTGTAGTTTTTGGCCAGGCAGCGCATGAGATGGTTGATATCCCATCATGTTCGCAATGTCAATAATATCTACAACACTAAAGTGTAATTTCATGACATAGTCTATCTGTAGCCACGATTTAGCTCTGAATTGAACGGGCTGCGTGTAGTCTGCTTTTAGCCCACCTGGCGAAATCGAGGCAATCTGTGGTCTAATTTTAATGGCTTGGCTATAGCCCTATACCAGTAACCAGACCAGCGATGAGCATAGCCAAAATAGTCTTACAGTTGTTTGTGGGATCATATTATCAAATGCAAGTAACCCTTTGAAACATTAAAATTATTTCTGATGTCACAAATAACATTCACGATATTATTTGACTGACTATCTTTC